TTGGTTGCTGAGCTTTCACAAACCTTTTACCTTTGCCGAATTTTCCTCACCCCCACATTCAGATGCATAATCATATATGGGGTCACGACGCACAATTTAAAAAGCTGTGTACAAAACAAAGAGCAAAAGCCTTCCACTAGAGCCAACGCTCTGAATTAGTACCTCTAGCCTCCTAAACATGAGATCATAAATTCGCTTGTTAAAGCCATCACTTGTGGTAGATATTGGCCTGTTATAGCAGGAGAAGGGAACTAGGACAGAAGCTACGTTTACCTGGTTGGGGTCAGGTTTCACAGTAGTTGGCTTTGAATGAGACAAAAGAAAACCAGGCATATCAGGTCTATAAAGACCCACTTTAAATACTCCTCGTTTAGCTTTCTCTCTCTGCTCTTTCAATTTTTGAAGTTGCTTTTCTTCTTTGTATTTGTGTAGCATTTTTTTTCGTTGATCATTTAGAACAGTTTTAGTTGATCCTAAGTAAAACAAAACACACAGTATATAAAACATTTCAGATAAATGCAAACATCTTGAAAGCCATTTTTTTTAACTTCAGTTGCTGCTAAGAAATGCTTTTAGTCACTTCTTGTTCATTCTTTAGCACTTTAACCAAATCTCTATTATGTTGAAGCATCTTGGACTCCTCTTTTCCAACCCACATCCAATCCGTCAGAAAATCCCATTGCTTGTCTTCAGAATACATTAAGAATGAAAGGCCTTATCTACTGTTTTGTGCTGCTACCACTACAATCAAGCATCAACTCTAACCTAAATTATTCTAATAATCGATTAATTGGTTGTCCTGATGACATATTTCCTATTCAACTATCTGCCCTAACACAGCACTGAAGAGGTCCTTTTGGACCATAAATCAGATTATGTAAGGACCCATGTATGTCTTCCCATTTAACTCGCAGTAAAAACCAAAGTCCTTATAAAGATGGCCTTCAAAGCCCAATGAGATCTAGCTCCTTTGTTCATTCTTCCTTAGCCATGGTTGAAGACTTGCTTTCTCCAGAACAATCAGATATCTGATTCATCCCCACTTCTGTACCTTTACAAATAAAGCATAAACAAACAATTTAACACTATCGATTGAGATACTCAGATTTGGGTCAAGGGAATGGTGCATGCGAGGGGGAAAGAGCAAAAGAAGAGCACTTCAGAGGCAATAATATCACCTCTTCTCAAATGTTTGCTTCTTCCTCCAAACACCATCCCATGTCATTTCTACGCTCTCAATTTCAATTCCTCCCAATTCCTAAGAAATATCACTCTTGTACTCTCTACTACCAGCTCATTTGCTTAGATCGTTAAACACTCATTGATCATCTCATCAAAAACTAAAACAATCATTTATAATTTATCAAGGGTTCATGAGGGTGGGAGGGTGGAAAAAAAGAGGAGGTGCTACCAAGGATTCAAGTAGAAAGAAAATGCTTTGAAAATTATGGTATAACACATGCACAAATGTGATTAACACAATGAATGTATGGATTTTTATAAGAGCTGTGAGAGCCTCCAATAAAATAATAAAAATAAATTTAAAAGATCTTTTAGATGGCTTCAAAAAAAAAAAACTAAAACAAGAACCCTACATTTTAAAAAATTTTCTCTTTATCCTTTAGAATCACAGAAATGCTCAATTTGGAAGAAATCTTTTAGCCTAACCCCCTGTTTATAGAAGTCATTGAAGTTCAATATGTGGAATGACTCATAGGTGTCAAAAACTATGGTCCTTAAAAATAAATCCTAAAATGGAAGCAATTAAGTTAAACAACTTGACATCTCACTTGGCTGAAACACTTCTACGCAGTCTCCCTCTTCCGGCCTTTTCACCACCATTCATCCCTGCTTTGTTTGGCTGCAACCCCACTTCTACAGAAACAACCGAACCACAGTCTATGGATTCCTTGCTAAATGCCCCTTCCCAGTTTTCTTCCTCCTTCCCAGGAACATTCCTTGTCTTCTAAGGAATTTTTTAACTTTTTAACCTTTTCTGAGACTTTTATGCTTTAAAGAGTTCTTTGCTTTTTAAAAAAA